ACCCACAAGCACACAGCCTCTTTCTCCTACTGTCCCCAAGCTTGCAGCAGGAGATGAGCAGTAGCAGAGACTCTTACTCAGAGGCAGGACCTGTCCTGTGTGTGTATATGCATGAGTCCACTTTATCCCCACAAGAAGTCTCTGAGGTCAGTACGGCCAGTATCTCCATTTACCAGATGGGCAAATGGAGGCAGAGAGAGCTTAAGCCAGTTGCTCCAGAGTGTGAAGTGAGGGTTCACTCCCAGGTAGCCTCGCCCCTGGGCTCTCAACTGCCACGCTCAGCTGCATGTTGAAATAACATGATAAAACAAGAATAATAGGTGTCATGTTGTTTATATTACTTACTACTCTGATAGCAGCTGCTTACATTTCCTAGTCTCTCCCTCTATGTCAAGCACTGTGCTGGCATAGTACAGACGGATCTCAGTTAATCCGTCCAACAGCCTTTCCAAGTGGGTCTCAGCCCTATCCCCACTGAAGACTGCAGATCAGAGAGGTTAAGCAACCTGCTCAAGGTCACAGAGTGAGCAAGTTGTGAGGCTGGGATTGAAGACCAGGGCTGTCTGACTCCAAAGCCCACGCCCACTGTCGGTCACTATGCAGGAAGAGTCATGTCACCAGGTCCCTTAAGACTTCCCTCGTGCTGAGACAACCTGAAAGGGCTGACTTCTGGCCTCTTCATTAGCATTGGTTCCAGTACCTCTGAAGTAAGGTAACTGGAGGAGCACCGATAGTTAGAGACAGTAGAGTCACTGAAATTTTCACTTGGAGACCCAGCTTTGTCCTACAAAATAGAGACTGAGAAACACCAGCATGTGTTCGAAGGCCAGGGTACCCAAAAATCAACACAGTTCAGCAAAACCTCAGTCAGAAACCACTGAGTTTCACGAAGTCTTATTAATAGCACAGAACAAACAAACAAGAGAAGAGCCAAAAGGAAACCCCCACAACACAGCCAGCCCCTCAGAGCTGTTGGAAAGCCGCGGAGATAGCAGCGGCCTCAACACCTGCGCCCTAGGTTCAGATCTCACCTCTGTCCTCTCACACTGACCACCATCACGCATAAATTGCTTCACTGCTTTGGGTCCCAGATGCTCCCTCTGAAAATGGGCTGGGAAGGCAATGCTCCATCTATTTTATAAGGAAGTTTAGGCAAAATAATCTAAAGGAAGTGCTTTAAGAAGTTTAATTTACAAATAATAAGCATTCTTATTTTTATCATATCTATAGAATACCATGTAGATCTACCATGAAGGAAAAACATTCCACTCTCATTTTTCAATGTCTACTTTAAGATCATATATTTTCAGTGAATTTTTACAGAAAATTCTATACCCTGACAACTTATAAATCTACTATTACACTTTAAGGTAAACTATATTTTGTAGTAAATGTTTATTTCATTCATTTAATCTCCATGAAAAGAAATGGAAGGGATTTATTAATAGCCTAGCGGCAGCAAGTTTGGGCTTTGGGCTCCTGGGTTCAACTTTCAGCTGTTATTTACTAGTAAGATGACTTTGGGTAAGAGATTTAACGTCTCTCTCCCACATTTTCCTCAGCCATAAAATGGGGACAATGATAGCATCTAACTTGGAGATGTTTTGATGATTTGCTAAAGTGGATTATTCAGAATGCCTGATAGTCAGCAATCAGCAAATATCTATTAGTATCTTAAAAGGCAACCAACAATGGGAACACATATTTTGCAAGACCTTCATTCACAAATGTTAGAGATATCCCAAAGAAAGTTTCTGGCTAAGAGAATGTAGATAAAAAAAAAAAATCAATATTAACATAAATAAAATACTTGAAAAGATAAGCTACAAACAAAACCAACTATTCACTTTTAATGATATAAAAGTAAAGTATCTAACACTTCCAAAACAATGGTTTGAGCTGAAATTCATGGAAAACATGGCCTAGAAAACAAGGAAAATGGACAAAAATAATTAAGTACATACACTAAGTATAACTGATCAAATAGGTAAACTGAACTGCCAGTTCCAAAAGTACCAAAGTCTGTTCCACACATGTTCCAGCAACCAAAATTAGGGGCCAAGGTTTGCAAGGTGACAGCTGTGTCGCTGGAGGTTAAGTACTTACTAAATTACTGTTTACTAGCTCTAATTTCACAAGTGGATTAAAGAAATAAATTTATTTGGAAATTGAGACACTAAACACCAATAACTAGAAAGTCAACTGCACACAGAAAAAGTACAGCAAAATTGATCATCAACTCATCTAAAAGTTTATTCATACTTTTACCATTGGCTAGATCCATGGTAAACCACAAGAGATACAAAGAAGGATAGGCAGTCCCCATCCTTAACTTTCTTAGTCTCATGCAATAAACATTCGAAGACTAAATTTTAATGCAGCTCCTTTTTGCAGTCATTTTTTAAAAATTTCAAAATATTAAGGGGGTACAAATATTTTTATTACATAGGTACCTTGTATAATGTTTGACTCAGGGCTTTTGGTGTGTCTGTCACCAGAATAGTGTTCATTGTACCCAATAGGTAAATTTTTATTCCATACCTCCTCTCCCACCCTCCCCCCTTTGTGGTTTCCAATGTCCTTTATATCTCTTTGTGCCCATGTTTACCCATCATTTAGCTACCACTTATTAGTGAGAACATATGGGTCTTTGATGGGGTAAACATTGCAGGATGGGCACCTAACTCAGTCCTAAGGGTGTATAGAAGGATTCCCATAGGTCATAGTTAATATGAAGCTGAGAGGAGTCAGAGTGAGCTAGGAAAAGGGGTGAGAGCAGCAGAAAGAGTCCTCTAGGCAGAGGGAACAGCACAGGCAAAAAGTATATCAGATTGCCACTTCCCTACTCCCTACTCCGATCAGCAATTCTTACCATGGCATTAAGGGCCCTATATAAACTGGCCCCAACTCATCTCCTACAATCAACAGAATCTACCCTTATTATCTTAAAAGGCAAACAACAATAGGAACAAATATTTTGCAAAACCATTCACTTCCTGCCCTCCAGACACTCTGGCCTCATTACTGTCCTTAAAGATGTCAAGCACATTCCCACCTCAAAGCCTTTATCCTCACTGTTCCCTTTGCCTGGGCTGCTCTTCTACCAGGTGTCTGCAAGGTTCATTTTATTCAAATGTCACCTCTTCAGGAATGTCTTCCCTGACCCCTCGATCTAAAATACCTCACCACCTTCAGTAAGTCTATTCTTCTTCCTAGCATGGACAGCCACTTGTATGATACTTCATTGCATCTCCATGTGTACAGCCCTTTAATGTCTGCCTCTTCAGCTGGAGTGCAAGCTGCACGAAGGCAGGGGCATTGCCAGTGCCTATAACTGCCCCTGGCATGTGATAAGGGCTCGATATATATTTGCTGAATAATTAATGAATTAATAAATCTTCGGAAGGCAGAGAGGGCACTTGGGTGGTCCAGAGACACATAGTTCAGTGTTACTGGCCCATAGGATGGAACAGAAGATGAGGCTGGCGTACATCTGTTTTCTGGAGGTATGAGCAACTTTCTTTAACTTTTCTTATTAATATCTTGCCATACCCATCCCATTAGCAATAATAGTTTTCTATCAGACATTTTCAATTATTGCTGATCCCAGCCTCTTAGTGTGGTGACCCAGATCCCAAGAGACATGCCATAGCTAGAGAAGAGAGCACAGAATCCCCTGGCCTCTTTCCATGGAAATGATAGGCATGTTTTTGGCAACATAGAACCTTAAAGTTTGAAGGCACCATAATGGTTATCTAAATACCTAACGCCTGCTACAATTTTACAAAAGGAACTAAGAAAGTATAAAAGAAAACAGCCAGCAACAAAATATAAACACATACTCAAGTATACAAATTAAAGTGTTGATGGATCCCTACCATTCAAATTCATGTGAGTTAGGGAGACGAGGGGTTTTCCGTACTTCAGTGGAGAATGCAAGTGATAAAAGAACTAGTACAAATTAGAACATTAAATGATGAGATAATATCAGCTCCAGAAACAGAGGCAAATAGAACTGGGCCAGAGTGTATAACACAGGAAGGTCAGAATCTGTACCACATGCCAGAGATCCTGAGCTAAATAGTTAAGTACTTGACACAGTTTATCCTTTTAATTCCCACAACAGCACTACGAGGTAGGTGCTATCACTGCTCCCAGTCACCTATGAGGACTCTGAGCTTTAAAAAGGTCGAGTGGCAGGGCTAAAATTCAAACTCCATCTGGCTCTCAATCATCACACCACTTAATCTGACCACTCAGACACCCTTCCCCCGCTCCCCCCATTGTAGAATAGGCTCTTTTATGTGACCCACAGGTACTTTCCAACTCCCTCAAGCCTTGTAAGGTTAAGGAGAAGGTGTCATTGCTTCTGCACTCCTTTTTCTAATGGTTGTCCTGGAAAGAAACAAGCAAGGCAGGATGGGAAAGAGGCCATGGAAGTAGTGATCAGCTCAGAGACAGACCACTTGGTGGATTTAAGACCCACCAACCAAATATTCCTGGGATATAGATTGTACTCATCTCCTCAAAAGAGCTGGAAGATTATTCCTTGCAGACATCCTGCCACCTGAAATTCTCTCACTGCTTGCTCATCTCTGGACCTCCCCTGAGTGTCCCCTGCATGTGGCACTGCTTCTTCAGCCATTTACAAGCCTGAACCTCCGAGTTACACAACGGCATTTCAAAGAGGAAAGGCATATCTGCATCACTGGATGGCAAACATCAATCTTTTTTTTTGTTTTTACTTTTGGAGTTTTGTTAAATCAACTTAAATATAGGAAATAATATTTAAATAAATTCTTTATTAAGAATCTTATGAAATCAACTTAATTTCTGGCAACGAGAAAAGCAAATGAGTGAGAGTATTCCCATATGAAAAGGAACAGTTATGTAACCAGCCCACATGGAGAAACCAGGCTGAAGTCAACATAGTGAAAGACTGAAATAGCCCTGCTTCTCTCCACAAGTCAAGATTCATGGGGATTGCACGCGGGACATACTTCTCATACAGCCTCTGCCCTCTCATGAAGGCCTTCACTTCGTTGTCCAACGGGAAGGTGCCGTCATCCTTTCTAAAGCGGTAGAAGAGTTTGACATCCTTGAATTCCTTGTGCTCATCACACACTGAAACACAATATGCACAGAGAGGCATATGAGAAAAACAATCACTCATTTAATTATTCGAGTGACATAAAATGCTAATTAAGAATCATTTCTCTAATTCTTCAAGCATACAAGTATCTGCTATATGAGTTAATTCATGTAAAGTATTTACACAGTATTAATACCTGGTACAGAGTAAGTGCTCCATATTATTAGATATCATCACCACCATCATCGTCACCATCATCATTATTATTATCTATTAAGAGGTTCACAAAATTCAATTCATCATTCTACAAACTCTTTTTGAGCATGATATTGGGGTATGTGTCAGCCCCAAAGACTGAGAAATCTAATGAGATAAGGGGAAATGTCAACATGTCATTAAAATCTGGTGCGATAAGGCGGAAGAGGTAAGGAGACAGTGCAGTGGGAGCACAAAGCAGGGGCACCCAGGATCCCAGGAACACAGTAACTCAGCTCTGAGAAATGGAAGCCTGCATGTGAATGGAGACCTGAAGAATGAGAAAATGAGTAGAACTTGTGCAAAAATGAGGAGAAAGGGTATTACAGCCCAAGAGAACAATAGCATGTGCAAAGGTTGAAGACAGGGTGATAGATTTCAAGGAGACATGTTCATGAATGTTCACTAAACCACTGAAAGTAACAGCAAACTCAGATACTACCTAAATGTCCATCAAGAGACATATAATAGCCTAATTATATATGTCATACTATATAGCAGCAGAAATGAACAAAAAAGAGATATATTACCAACATGGATGAAGCTCACAGTGTGATGGTCAAGTTGCAAAAGAATAGACATACATCTCTATAATGATTTAAAACATATAAAATGGCCAGGCACAGTGGCTCATGACTGTAATCTCAGTACTTTGGGAAGCCAAGGCAGAAGGGTTGCTTGAGGCCAAGAGTTAGAGACCATCCTGGGCAACGTAGCAAGACCCCATGTCTACAAAAATAGAAAAACTAGCTGGACATGGTAGCACACACCTGTGGTCCCAGCTACTCAGGAGACTGAGTCAGGAGGATTGCTTGAGCCCAGGAGTTGAAGGCTACATTGAGCTGTGATCATGCCACTGCTCTAGAGCCTGGGGAACAGAGCAAGACCCTGTCTCAAAAAACAAACACAAAACTATATAAAAAGTATGATATTTTGCTTAAAGATGCATATACAGAAAGGAAATGTATAAAGAAGTATATGCAAATAGCCCAAATGCCTCTTGGAGGAAGGGAGTGCATCTGGGGAGAGGTACACAGGAGACAAGACAAAGTGAAATGTTTTATTCTTAAATGGGTAGGTTCATGAAAAGATTCAGTCCTTCATTTTCTCTCAAGTCACCTTGACTGTTACCTGCTCACTCACCATGATGAATAATGCCCCGGTCTGCTAATTTCTGCATGAGTTTAATTGCTGTCTCTCTGTCGGAAGCCTCTTTGTGCTCAATCAGCCAGTCAATCAGTTCTTTTGCCACAAAACAGTTTGGGTAGGTCTTGAGATGATGTCGTCTATCTTTAATAACTTTTTCCTCATGTAGCCTGAGCCTGGAAGAAAAATTAGCAATCACTTTAGGAATGTTGATGACAGCACAAATTATTAAACCAATTCCATTAAGAGCAATAACAAAACAGAAGCTCTAAATGCATCGGCCGGTCATTAACTATCTCTAGGTGATTTCCATACTGTCAGAGCTCAAAGCCTCCAGAAAGTGACTGTATCCTCTCATCTAGAGATGATACCGGTAAATATGAGAGGAAAACAGCCACAGCCAAGCTAGAACTCTCTGCCACTGAGAAGAATGAGAAAAGCTCTTCTGCCTGCTACTCTGCCTCACTCCCCTCTCTTGCTCTCTCTACCTGTGTGGGGTTATTGCTGCAACCAACCAACAAACAAAAACTCTAGAAACTCGCTGAAACAAGGTACCTCCTCTTCATCACAAGTTGTTCAGGGCTGACCATCCTTGCATTCATTCATTCATATAACAAGTATTAATGAGTGCCTACTACCTGCCTCTTAGGTACCACTGGACACTACAGACATATATCAGCAAATACACAGATGAAGATTCTTGCCTTTGCAGGCCTTGTTTTCTAGCAGGGGCAACGGCTAATCTGTTCGTGAGGCTTGATTCGTGAGGCTTGCTAGGTTACAAGCACTGGTGTGAGTACTTTACAACAATTGACTTAATGTTCAGAACAACCTCATCAGAAGTTATTATTTCTATCTCCATTTTGTTTTCTACAGCAGAGAGAACTGAGGCCACAGAGAGATTAAGTGACTTGCCTGACACCACACAGCTAACAAGTGATGAAAACTAGGTTTGGACCCTGGTGCTCTCACTCAGACTCCAAATGCTGCCTCGAGCTAGGGAGGGATAAATGAAAAGTCTGGGAGAGATGGATTAAAACTGTTGGAGAAAAAAAATACAACTTATTTACAGGCCAATGGATTAGTGTGGAGAAAAGTGGTTGACCTGGAACTTCTCCTACTTCCTTCATATCTCAGTGACTTTCTCAAAAGAATCTTAAACCTGCTTTTAAAAATTTTTACCTGCTGTAAAATGAAGGCCGTTATGAGGTTTATGATAGACCCCCTCCCCTTGGCAATGTTGAGATTCAGGTGCATAATGTAAGTTAAGCACCGGCAAGCCATCGTAGTGCCTGACACAGGATAGGAACTGTCCCCCTTTCTTAACAAAAAAAAGCAATCACACTCCTGCCTGTTTGTTGAGAGTGCACTTACAATGACCAAAGGTGGTGTCATTGTACGTGGGGAGCATTCTGGGCCGGGAGCTTGAGGCATGGATGCTTTTCATCACTGTCATGGCTGAGTTGTTCCCCACAAATTCATATGCTGAAGTCCAAACTCCAAGTATCTCAGAATGTGACTGAAGTTGGAGATGGGGTAATTTAAGGAGGTAATTAAATTAAAATGAGGTCATTAGAGTGGCCCCTAATCCAACACGTCCAGTGTTCTCATAAGAAGAGGAGATTAGAACACAGACCTGTGAATGCGCAGAGAGAAGATGGCCATCCATAAGCCAAGGAGAAAAGCCTCAGAAGAAAACCCAGTGCTGCTGACACATTGATCTTGGACTTCCAGCCTCCAGAACTGTGAGACTATAAATTTCTGTTGTCTAAGCCACCCAGTTTGCAAATCTTTGTTATGGCAGCCCGAGAAACAAATACAACTACCAACTGCTAACGACTGGAAGCTCCTGCAGTTGTGTGGGGATGAAGGGCTCGCTGGGGCAGAGCAGAGGAGAGTAAAGACAGTTCTAACAGCTATAAACTACACAGAAAGAAAAAACCATTTTAATTGTGTTCCTCCTCTATGACCAACATTATACTAAGCATCTTCATACATGTTGACCTAAGCAACTGGATCTGAAAGCCATTTAACTACTCCAGGTCTCATTTTTTCGTTTGTAAAATAAGGGGTTTGGAGTGAACCATGAGATCTCTGTAAGGTGAACAACTATTAGTAATGTTTCTGCCTAACTTACGTGCACTCTCCTTTTTTCTGCTAACAGCCCTCCAACTTTTCTTTGGGAAAATAATCCATCATCCACTGTCAGTCCATGTGAATCAGATGTGATTGGCCTCAACCATAGCACATGAGCCAGGCCTAGCCAATCAAAGCATCTTGTCTCTTGGGCTTTGTGTTTGGTTCATGGATGAGCATGTGACCTAAGCTAGACCAATGAGACTCAATCCTGAAGTGTTCCTAGGAGTCCTGGGAGTTACTAAGTTTTGAAATATATGCCTTGAGCTACTACTAGCCATCATAAAAGGAAGAACCTACCTAAGAAGAAATCCAACACAGAGCAAAGCATACGGGTGGGCAGAGGTAGGGGTGGGGAGAGAGATGCTCCAAACAACCCTGTTTGAGCACCTGGATTCAACAGTTCATGAAGCCACCTAACCTGGATTTATTTACTTTTTATTTGTATACATTTATGGGGCACAAGTGTAATTTTGTTACATAGATATATGGCATAGCGGTAAAGTCAGGTAAAGTTATCACCTGACTAACATACATTATACCCATTAAGTAATTTCTCATCATCCAACCCCTTCCTGCCCCACCCCTACCCTTTCAGGTCTCCATTGTCTATCATTCCACACACACTCTATGTCTATGTGTACACATTATTTAGCTCCCACTTATAGGTGAGAACATGCGGTGTTTGTCTTTGTGTGTCTGAGTCCTGACCTGGATTTAAATTACATGAGCCAATACATTCCCTTATGCTTTAGTGAGTTTAATTAGGTTTCTGTTACTAATACCAAAATTGTCCCATTACAACCTCTAGCAAGGAATGTTGCCACAGTGGTGCTGATGCCTTTAGAGACCACATAAATGGTCAGAGATGTCTGCCCTGCACCCAGTGGTTACAGAACTTCCTGAGTCAGGCATCAGTTTTTTCATTATCTTGTTTCCTTCCCTTGTCCTGCTGTGATATACACCTGTTGTCCCTGAACTCAAGCAGTTTCCTTAATCTGCCACTTCTGTTCTGCCATGGTCTGCTAAGCTAGTTGGTATAAAAATACAAATCAAGAGTTAAAAGATTTTGAGCAAATGCCTGATATGAACATCTATGAATAAAGAAAATCAGCATTTTGTACATGGAATTTATGAAGTCTATTTTGGTTACTCAAAGACTATGTTTGGCTAAGTGCTAAATAATTAAGGATAAATATCAATGATGCTTAATTACTATATGATGTTCTACCATCTGAAAATATTTATTATCTAAAAGTCTGGAGTCAAGACATATTAATATTATAGGACTGGCTAAAGAAAGGACATAGCAATGAATGAATCCACTAGTAAGAGAGAAATGAGGATGATAGTGATATCAGAAAAACACCAAAGAAGAGAGGTATCCAATAGACTCAGAAAACATTTGAATAAGATGGTCATGATGAAGCAGGGTTGCCAGATCTAGGGAGAAAAAAACCCAAAAAACAAAACAAGAAATTCAGTTAAATTTGAATTTTGGATAAATGACAAATAATTTTTTAGTATAAGCACATCCCAAATATTGCATGGGATCTACTTATACTAAAAAAATTATTCATTATACTGTGTCCAGAATTCAAATTTTACTGGGCACCCTAAATTTTCTGGCAACCCTATGGGGGATATATTTTACTAAACATGAAAGTTAGTATATTAGGATTCATATTTTATGCTAAAAAAGAAAGGGACCTACATTGATGGTAGCGGACACTTTCAGTGTTGGGGCTTCCTCCTCTAGGGAAAGTTAGTTGTGTAATTTTATTTTACAGTGCCTGAATCATCATGTTTGTCTGATTCTTCCAGAAGATACTTTGACCCATGTGCTTGACGCCAGACTTGCCCTCACATGCGGAGGACAAGGTAGGAAATAGAAACCATAAAGATTATAAATCGGTAAAGCTGGTGGAGTGAATCCAATGTGCAGAATCTCCCTCTCTGAATATTGAACAAAATAATTTTTGAAAAAGGAAAACAGCAAAAATTTGGCTAGAAGTGGCCAAACAAGGAAAAGTACAACATCTACTTCCATAAATTTTTTTAAAATTAGCAGCCAAGGAAATAAATAGAAAATTCTGGAGTAGTGAGGCAAGGTAAGTAGACCTTCACCACCCAGAAGCCTTGTTGCTAAGTCAGTGAAATCCTCAGAATTTTCATTAATAACCCCCATGTTTGAAGGAAAGAAATAAAACACAAAGAAGTGAGTTTTCTGTCTTCTTATTAGGAGACGGGGGAAATGGCTGCCGGGAAAAGATGAATGCAATGAAGGACATGAAGAAGTAGACCTTTTCTCTGGCAGTGAAGCCTCCCAGGCTCAACAGTAAATTAGGGGACCAGTCCAAGGGCCAAAATATCCCTCCACAGCAGTGGGATCCACCTCTGACTATGTGAAATGAACCCTGGGACAGGAAATTGGATAAAATCTTTGAAGCAAGACTCTCCCCTTCTCATCACCCTGGACCTTTAAGCTATAAAAAAAAGTGGAATAAATAATTAGCTATCAAATTTAGCTCAGAACAGAAAATAACATTCTGTGAAACTTAGGAAAAGGCCAAGGAGATGTCACCTGCCTTATGTTCAAGCAAAGACAGAATAGGGACAACAGAAAGTATGGGTAGAGCTGCCTGCCTTAAGTATAAACATGATGGAAAGAAGCAAATAGCTATAAATAATTATACTTAAAGAAAAAAGAAAAAAAAGAAGGAAAAGAAGAAAGAGAACATGTAACAGATAAAAGAACTGAAAGAAAACACAATTCAAGAAACAGAAATTACCCCAAAGTATTCTGAACTACAAAAAATAAAAACGTTAAAAGAACATGAATTTAATCAAGTAAGAACTCAAAGATAAAATGATTATGAAAAGGGAGCTATATGTCTTAGAAAACGAACTGAAGTCAGACAACAACGTTATCAAGCAAATTACATAGACAAACAAACTACATAGCTGAAAACTGAAATAGGATTGAAAAAAGACTTTAATAAAAGAAGGGAGAAAAACAAAGTAATTAAAGCAGATAGAA